GAATTGTCTCCTTATGGCCAATTTACCATTACCTGATATATGCTACTAGGGAGGCTGCAGTTTCAGTAGAATGGCTGCAGCAGTGAAACCTTGCACCCCAGGGGAGGGGGCTCGTGGTAGAGCATCCTGTTTCTTTGACTGGTCCACCTGAGGTGGTCGCAAATGACAGCGTGCTGAAAGTGTGTAAAGTGATGCATGCCCCCTACGGCAGTCACTGTCTAGCTTGAGCACAGGTGTTAAAGGCCAAAAATTTTGTCAACTTCTATTTTAAAAACTCTACAATGTGTATGCTGCATGGACTGCAAGACCAAAGGCAGGGTCTGGTCCCCAGAGAGGGAAACCTTGTATCTGTGCCACAACAAACGGTTATGGCAACACTTCAAGGGGAAAGTTGTTCTCTGGGCGAGTGGCCGATGTGATATGAATTGTTTCAAATGTCCTGTGCAGGCTGGCTACCGGGTGAGAATTGTCACAAGGAATGCTGAGAAGGCCGCTGATCTGTTTGGGGATAACCCAAATTTGGAGGTGAGATAGTTAAAACCAGTTGCAACAACAGGTCAAATGCAACATAGGTGAACAGAACTCTGGAAAATGCACAAGCTGGTGTCAGAAGTAGAGAACAAAAACTGTTGTGGGTGATTCTGCCTGTCATGTATCACAAACATGGGGTGTCCTCTCTTTGGCCTTGGATGTGCATCACTTACCGATTTGTTGCTCTTGTTTTGTTGCATGCTTGAACATCAGCAAGCTGATATTGTGATTGGTGTCTGGCCGCAAGCTCTACCCTCCTGATGTGTGCCCCAACAGCCTCTCCTTCAGCACTGGGGTGGCTCTTTGTTACATTCAAACAGCTGGGCACTTGTGTCTGCTGTGCAAAGCACTTACTAGGCTCCAACAACTGTGTGCAGATCCTCACCCACGACTTGAGCAAGTTGGAGGAAGTTGAGCAGTGCATGGATGGTGTGGACGGTGTCTTCTGCTTGGTTGGCACAACTGCCTTCCCAACTGACAGGTGTGCACCCGGCTTGTCAAGCTCATGTGCTGTATTTGGCTCAATGTATGGATCACTTCGCTGGGTGAGAGCACCTGTCAGCTTTTCACAGCATCATGCCTGAACTGCTGATGTCCATGTGTTTCTGATGTACCCCGCAAAGCAACGAACACCTAATGCACTTAGGTGGTGGATGGCTGCCTCCCATCCACTGCAGTCATGGGAACTGCTGGTGGGTTGCCAGTGGCAAATGACAAGTTCAAGATTTATGGTGAATTTTCAGATCGGTAGTTTGTTACAAGCACACACTCAGTACAGAGCTGGAGGTCTTCGGCAAGTACTATGATCAGCAAAGAAAACACCCTGCTCGACAGATGCGACTTACAGCTTTTATGAACTTCTTATGTGAGAATAGAACATGATACTAAATTGGGATTCAGCTTTGTTGTGTATGGTGCTGCCTCTGCTTCACAGGTGGACACGGGGGCAGACAGCTGAGCAGAGCTGCGATGTCGTGCCCCAGAATCTGATCAAGGCGACTCCGAAGAATATCCATCGGTTTGTGATGGTCACGTCTGCTGGTGTGGAGCGGGTCAAAGAGATGCCTTTCAACATCCTCAACACATTTAGTAAGTTGCAGTCCTTCGCCAAAGGTGTATCGCGTTTTGTTGGGTTGTCTTTGCTCATGGGGCATCCCTGTGCACGCATATCGGAGTATTTGTTGTTGTGTGAGGCAATTCTTATTGTGTCATTCGGATGCTCATCACCATGTTCCACTGTATCCCAGAACACATTCCCACAAGAGTCGTGCTCAGGGAAGGCTGTGCCCGTTACATGATACTTTTCCTTCCTGTCTATTATGTATCTTACATAGTAAAACTTATATTGGCAACACAGCCTGCGAGCAGACAGCCCAGAGCTTTGTCTCTCTTTGTGAACGTGGTCGTGTACCTGCTCGTAATGCATATGTTCATGTACTTACTCTCTCAGTTGCTATGTGTATGCTCTTGATCTGTATAAATGCATGCCTGCATTCAACCTGCACTCACTCATTTTGTTCTGTACATTTACCGTGCCCGTTTGCCTGTTCAATGACTGATTCATGCTGGGCTGCCCTTGTGCAGAGGTGCTGACCTACAAGCGCAAGGCTGAGCAGACCCTGATGGACTCTGGGCTGCCATTCACCATCTTCAGGCCCGACCGCCTGACAGACGGCCCATGGACATCCACAGATCTGAATACCTTCCTGAAGGCAGACACACAGGGCACCATGAAGGGGGTCAAGATGTCGTTGGAGGACGACCTTGGGAAGGGGCAGGCCTCTCGCATCAGCGTTGCAGGTGCGATCTTACAGGCAACAGCAACTGTGAGAAGAGAGCTGGGGCGTTCTTTAAGGAGCATTGTAATGTGCTCTGACACTCCTAACATCTTGTGCTGTCAGAGACGTCAGTAGAAACACGGGCGATCAGCGTTTCTTGTGCTGTCAGATAGTCTAAACACAGAAGACACACGAGCCATATGCACAGTGTCGCGTTGGCGGTAGTGGGTTCGTCCCCGGCCATGTATGTAGAGGGCGCTGAAGCCATTTAGATCTAGCCGTGTTTGAGCATAGCTGAATCAGGCGGCAAGAGAAAGCACCCAAGCAGCAGTGCGTGGCACAACCATTGCGTCTCATTTCACGCGTCGGTTGTTGCTAATTCTGCAGAACAACAGCTGTTGTGCATGAGAAAGGACAAATGAGAGTCTCGCTGATGGTTCCATTGCTGTTGTTCACAACAGAAGCGTTGCTTCAGTGCCTCACGATCCGAGGGACAGAGGGTCGGGCCTACTCCATCACCAGCACCAAGGAAGAGGGCCCATCTTGCGACCACAAGAAGTGGGAACAGATGTTCGCCGCAATGGCCTGATGAGAGACAGCGGCCCCCAACTTCGCTCCAGGCGGCGGGATTGGGAGCAACTACCGGGCAACCTTTGAGGCCGTGGATTATATTTTTCAGCAGGATTTTTGGCCGTGATTCGGTCTTTGCAATTGTGCGGTGCGTGGCCCTGAGCTTCAAGAAAGGGCGATCGCGCGAGTGAAAACTGGGAAAGGAGTTCGATGGCCATTTTGTGGTGTAGGCATCCAGGTCGGGTCGTCGCTTTTGGGTAGCATGAAATCCCTGCCTGATGTGGGGCAACGTGTGTGGCGATCCTAAGGAATGTGGCTGAGTCGAGCGAATCGAGTCTGGCTGGGCAACAAAAGTCAGGAGAAACCCCATCGTCAGCAGGCGAGGTTTGCCGCCGACCGCACAACGGCGAGTTTGGGTTCAACAGAACTGCCAGGAAGACCATAAGAGTATTACAGTGAGGCGCGCCATTTGGGACGCCTGTATTCTAAGCGGGTGACGAAGTGTGATTGTACGAAGTGGGATGACAACGCGACTGGATGGAGTGTGACCGCCGAGGTGGGGGGCAGCGCCAGTCGGCCTGCATTGTTGTGGTGCGATTCATGCTGGTGCATCTGTCGATGCGCCCATTGCACCAGCGGGCTATTCGTTGATGGTGGTTGATTGATCGGGTGATTTTTGATTTGTTGGCAAGGTGAATTTGTGGCGCGTGTGCTTGGGACATGTGCGCCTGTACGCTTGCCCCTCATTGGGGCAGATCACCATCGAAATTGTAATCATTCATGATTTTGGTGCCTACTACCTGCCCCCTTATCAACGCATCTGGTGTCTTTGCGAGTGCATTCACCAGGGTGCTATCTCCCAGGATCGATGACGCCACGGCGTTCAACACGTGCCGATTCTCAACAATCCGACAGTCGTGCTGTGATAGGAACAGAGTTCGCGAAAACAAGGATGGCTGCTACAACAGTGACAACATCCTGAGCCACGCAGTGGGTACTATGCCAACTGCACACGAAGGATGAATACACTCCACGAGCCTCCTCGTATGCAATCGGGTACTGGCTGTCGATTACTGCCACCGACAATGCGATTACTGCCGGTTGTACACTTTACCGTCATCACACAAGCCAACCAGAAAAACAGCAGCGGACGGCACACGCCCCATCATATCACAGCTTGCGTGTTTAAAAGCAGAACATTGTGTGGGTGTCACTAGCAGCGCCAACCAACATCCCCAAAGTGTGCATCATTCCTTTCCTCCTCAACACGCCCACATCTGCATTCTCCCCAAAACTCCTCAGCAACGGACTGCCAAAGCCCTCGCCAACCCTTCGCTCTTCGTCCCCCCACAGCCACACCCCCGACTTGCAAAACTAGACTTCGGGCTCCACTGCTGGGGCTTCCCGATCTGTTTAACAAGATTGGAACAAGGGCATTGCTGTCTGGACATTTCCGAGGACACCTCTGCCTGCAATGAACGCATACCACCCCCTTCCCAGGAGACCCCAGCTTTCCCAAGCGCTGGTTCCCGCCCCCTGGCTCCATTGCCTGCAGCCTGCGGTTGGCACAGTGGGACTGCAGGGCCCCATTTCCGGATGACAGCTATGCATGCGGAGAACACATGTCAACCGCTTGCCCCTCAATTCTCGCAACAATCTCTCAACCTCCACAATTGCTGCCGGTCTCCAACCGCGGCACCCTGCGAACCTCGCCCTGGCCCCCATTGGATCCCCTCTCTTGGTCCGTTGTCCCCAACCGTCCATCGGGATAGGACAGGACAGCGCCCAGTAGTCTTGTGGCTTCTCCCTTCCGGTCTCTCAAAGGTAACACAGATCGATCCAACAGCAATTAATCCCATTTGACTCAATACCGCTGGGTCACGGAACATTTGATCTGAATTATGCAATTATACCCACATGGCGACGGCAAGCCTGCATTGTTGGCCAAGTCCCCCGCTTAGACAGCCACCATGAACCCGAGAAGCGCTGCCAGGATATATGCTGCTGGAGGCTCCCCAATATCTGTTTTCTGCACAGCTCTCGATTGATGATCGCTGTTTCCTTAGGCCAAAATAACGCTAGCTATGGGCCTGGTCGAGCGGTGCACAATGTTCCAAACCTTCACGGCCACTCCCCCGAGTCCATGAGAACGGTTTCAAGCTCCTTGGCCGCCACCTCAGGCATGGAATAGGCCGGGTAGCGTATGACGTAATCCAGGGCGAACACCGTGAGTGGCACCGCCAGCATGAGGCCCCACACCCCCAGCATGTGCTCGCCGATCGTCAGCACCGCGAGGACAAGGAGCGGGTGCAACTTGAGGTGGGCGGAGTAGATCATGGGGTTCAGGCCTGGGCGCAGCACACAGATCTTTGGGCGGCAGTCCATTGGAGGGGGCAATGGAATGCGATGTGGCTGGGAAGCTAACAGAGGGGCGATCCCCGTGTCGAGGTACACCACAGGATAAAGGCGGTGGTTTGCTGTATCGCGCAACAATCAAATGACAATTGACATGCGACTTCATTTGATGGCGAAGCGCTGTGCGATCGGAATCTTGATTGATTGGCTGCTTGATGGAACCACTGGAGAACAAAAACACGTTCTGCGAGTGCCTACAAGTCGCGCATGTTCTTACCGTATGCCTCGATGAAGTGGATGACCACAATAACGGCCAGGACAGCCGCAACCTTCGCGAAGCCGTATTCCGTCAAAGCTACGATGACAATGGGCGACGTCGATATGAAGACGCCCGCCACGGGAATGAAGCCGCATATGGCAACAAAGAGCGACAGGAGGCCGATGTTCGGGATGCGCAGCACCCAGAGGCCAAGGGCGGTCAGAGCGGTGTTGAAAAGGGAAATGCGGCCCTGACCGCGACACACAGAGCCTCAGACGACATCCAGACGACAGACATACGGACAGCGAACGAGACGAGATACAGGCGACATACAGACGACAGATATTTGCTAAATGGGCATTGTTTCGTACTTGTTGCATCAAGGGCGGCCACATTGGCGTATAATCGAGCTATTCCGTCCATGTCGAGACATGTTTATTGGGCATACTTTCCATTCTTACAGTTCGCGTGTGAGGTCAATAGTGTCTCAATTCATGGGGCGTGCTACGAGGTTGTGAGCATACATTGAGGTCTAGCAGCACAGGACGGGCCGCGCATGAGCAAGACATGATTCGATTCTGTACCTTTCAGACGTGTTCATAGCTGTACGTGCTATAAGCTCCCCTACCTGTACTTTTGATAGTGCAATTCATTGGCAGATGTAACAGGAATTCATGTTAGAATGGAAAACGGAGACCCAACATTTGCAGGCATTGAAATCTGTTGTTACCTTATCAACACAGCAACACACGGTCTTCAGATGGACATTGTCAGCCAGTAAACATACAGGATTCCATTCTTTCATCAAGACACGTCCAGGAATCGGGATGGAATTACAGCAACATTGACAGACCTCGTGCTGCGAATTTTTTTTTGTGCCACCTGTCAACGTCGCTTCAATGCCAATGCACCAACGTCTTTGCAGTAGCTATGGCCTAATTTTTTACTGAGCTTAGAGATTTACAGGCTGCTAGAATTCGTCCCCTGTTCGGATGAATGGCTTTAGGGGCAGCATAATTCAATGGAGCATTGATGCGCGCGGCTTCAAGCGCATCAACGAAGTTGTCTCAACAACTTGTTCCATCAACGGTGCTGTAACTCCATCCCGATTTCCGAAGTTCCTACCAGACGACGCTCCGATATCGAACGTTAGGACACCTTGGTCACATCACACTAAGAGCCTCACGTGATGTCCGAGTTACAGGCTTGCTGCAAAGTACAAGGGCAGCCTTTTTTCGACTTTGGCGTGTGTGATTGGAGCAGAATGAGACGACACGCACTATTCATCACAATGGTGGAGGTTGATTCAATATCAGCAGCTGTTGCAAGGCTGATGTTCAGCACCGAATCGATGGTCACGTGCCGTTAGAACTCCCTGTGGTGAACAGCAATGCAGCGCTTGATGAAGGGATTTCGGGCACAGCGTCCAGCGGCACCACTTTCAACTCTAGCAATCGGTAATCAGCACTTCGAGGGAGCAAGCAACAAGTACATAAGCGGAACCGAGCGACTAGTAAATTAGCAATCCCTTGAACAATCGCAACTGGGTGAAAAAACAGGGCAAAAAGCACAGATGGACAGCACCGTGTCAACCAACAATTAAGCACAATTCTTCTCTCAATCCTTCAACAGCACTGCAACTTAAATTGTGGGGTATAGGCAATGAATACAGGCTGTGTACATCTCCAGAAGCCTCACCTGAGCCTGCAGGGCTTTCCCAAAGAGCGTTCCAAAGATCTGCAAGTTCGGTGCAAGCTCCTCATACGCGGCGGACAGCCTCGAGTTTTTCAGCGACGACATCCCACTCTTGATTGATGGGAAGTCCCAAACGAAGAAAAAACTGGCGATGAGGCTGACAAACATCTGCAGTGCAAAGCGCGTCACGAAGGACAGGATCATGGACGTGGCCTGCACAGCAGCTTCGGTGTAGCCCCGCAGCAGTTTCTGGATCGCGCTGGCAAGGATGTTGACACGATCGGGCGTCCAGGCCTGGCCACAATGGCAACTTCCCGATCAGCAATAGAGCAACTGTCAGAAGAATTGCACAGAAAAGGAGGTTATTAGTTGATGCCCAGTGATGAATGGAGTGAAGTTGATTGGGTGATTGAAGTGAACATACACAGCAATGATCGAATTGAAATTCGAAACAAACCAACTGGATGGCGATAGCAAGGGCACCAATGCAGTTGGATGCTTGCAACAGCCACAGATCTGCCCAGCAATTCACGATGAGGCAACCGTTTGGCAGCAAACGAAAATTCGCTTGTGTAACCAACGTTGCCTCAGAGTTGCAAGGGGGGCATCGTGCCCAGCAGTACAACTGACATCACAACTAGACACACAGCAAGCAGTACAACTGGCTGTACAAATTCAACAGCTGGCAGTACTTTCAGCAGCGCAGCCAGCAATGTAATCAGCAGTGCAGCAGGCAGCATATACAGCTGTACCTTGCTGATCGCTTCTGGTGCTCCGATGATATTGTCAGAGCTGGCCAAGAGCAATAGCCTCTCAAATTGTTCCATGATATTATCTCTGCAACAAATAAAAACACATCAGGACCATTCTTCTTTCCATGAAGTCAATGCAGATCTTGTAAACCTCTGGCACATCATAATGCCTGGTACAGATAGATTGTACATCGCGTTTAAGGCCTCTGGCTGCCTCTATTATTCAGTCCTAAGAACTGCATCACAATCGAGTGTCCAGCTGTCAGCCACATCATAACAGAACTGATGTTGCCTTCTGCCCCCTAGCCAAAGCTTTCAGGACATTGTGAAGCTTTTGAGTGCTAGTTTCTTCTTTTACTTTGCGATTTGTGGCACTCTTCGTGGTATGCTATTCCAACTAAATATGGCCACTTGCACCCCTACCACTGCACTGCAACAAGAGGGCACAACATTTTGAAGTTGTTGTCACTGGCAAGCTTCATCAAACCTTGACAATAGAATAAAGTGCTTGGAATGGACCATTTTTGCAACACAACTGTTCAGTGTAGTCAACTCTTGTCACATCCAAACACTATCGGTACTTTCAAATAGATAGAAATCTGCTTTGATTCCGTTTGTTGTAACTTGACACAGCACTGCATAGCATCTTTATGGTGCCCTCGACCAATAGCCAGGTAGTCAGCCTTTGGATCAGCGGCCAACAGCTAGAACACTGGCTCCCTGAGCAGCTACAGGACAAACACTTGTGCATGTGAATGACATGCAACATTGCTGAGTTTCTTTCCTTTTTCTGGCCATTCATCAGCACAAGGTGCGGAAAGACCATTCGAGAAACAAAGTGCATTCTAGGACATGCACCCAGCACATCCTCTATGGTGCAAGTGTGGTGTTTGCCATGTTTATGTGACAAATGTGATCAAAGGATTTGAAGGATATGCATAACATACATCAGTAGTGTCTGGCATCACCATTACACCTCACAGGTGCTGTTGTCTCCTGTTGTCCATGGGACAAAATAATCAAAGCAAACTCCAGCTCGAAGGCTGAAAGGTGGGTGCTTTATCACCCTTTCGACTACTGTAATCAAGCTGATATTTGCACAGCCTGCTAACAGGTGAAAGAGAAGTAGTGTACATAGCAAAGTGTAGTGTGTTAATTGCATGCACTGCAGTGATAGTGTGTGATGCATAACACTATGTTGGTATCTGGCGATAGCATGTAGTGATCGGCAGTGTTTCTAAATAAATGCATTCAATGAGGAATCATGTTATTGCACCCAACACAGCCCTACACACGTCTTCCGCAAACTAGCTGTTTTAGTCATGGATGTTATGCAATCAAATCATATGTGTAAAGCAAACACAGCATATAGCATACTGCACACATCACAAAAGCAGAATATAACTGCTGCAATCAGACCACTGGCACCCAGAACTCACCCCAACCCAGCACGCATTTTCTCCAAAACCACAACCCATATGTTGTCGTTTTGGAGCCTCTGCACAAAGTCAGCCCCTTCCCGGACGATGTCAGGAATGGTGACAGCACCCAGTAGAGTTAGGAGAGCCACAATCAAGGTGAAGAAGATTAAGACCAGCACTCTTCGTCGGGCACCAGGAGGAACAAAGCCCAGTAGGCTGTTTGCTTCTTCAGAGTCCACAAGGCTGTTGCCGATCGCAGAGATCAGGAAAGTGCCCATGGCAATCTGACCACATGTGCCACAGCAAATGGTAAGATAAGGTGCACAAGTTCGGCTGATGTTGACAAGATTCTGGACAACTCGTCAGCTCTCTCACACAGCTGTTTCAGAGATGTTTATTTTTGAGGGAGATGTGTGTCATTTCTGGTGGATACAACTTCAGATGACATTACACGCATTGCTCCATGTGGTATGCAGCTGCATCCAACCCTGTGATGTGCGATTGGTGTCTGTGTTGTTTCAGGTGGGGTGCAGTGACTGATAGCTAAATTCAACAGAGGTGTATTTGGATGTCCACCATCAAGTCAGCCCTTCATCGAGGTGGGCTCAAGGGATGTCAACAGTGGAAAGGCACCACAAAACCCACCTACCACCACTGGCGTGTTTTCGTTCTCTGCTTTACAGCATCTACAGCTCGAAATGCAAGTAGACAAAACACCAGAGCAGATTAGGAATCGATATGTCAGAATTTATCATCAAATTCACGCTCTTGCTTTTGTGTGCATAAATGCTCACGACTTAGTTGTCCATACTTTTATGTCACTAATGCTGACATGCTGAAGTTTGTGTTTCAGCTAGAAGGTGAAGTGAGGTGGCCATCTGAATGAAGAAATACATCAGCCCAGAGGTTGACAAGCTCCTCGGTACTGCACGAATTCCAAACGATGAAGCGTGATGCAAAGGCAGGCAATACACTGCAATGTCTGAGCAGATGAACATCAAAGCCCTTCTTTCCTTTTCAACTAGAAGGCGACAATTCACCACCATTGCGCACTTGCTACCCGGACTTTTTGGCACCAATTTCCAAACGTTCTTAGATGAGGCGGAGGCACACACAAGTGAGAAGCAACGACACGCACAATGCGGAGTCCATTATAGGCGGATTATATGCGTGGATTGGTCTTTAGACGATGTGATCATTGAAATGTCAATATCACTGAACTCCAAGCACACTGCGTTACCAACATACAACCTCGACAGGACCCACGGTGAGGATGCCAACAAGCCAAGATCAAGAGGAAAGCAATCCCTCACGCCGGCTGTATGGATGCAGCCGCTCACTGCATCCAACACTCAGCCAAAAATGTCCCCAATGATGCAACATTTTACTCCCAGAACAAGTCGCAATTCCCGAGCACCACCCACTCACGTTGAAGAAATTCCTCAGCTGGTAGACGAGGAAGGCCACGCCGGCCCACACCACAGCCCTCCTCACCGGGAAGCCCCAAATCCTGCCCTGCAGCTGCCCGCCCTCCCTGCTCCCTGCCCAGTCGTGGCCGTCCCCATTGCCCTGCGCTTTCACCCCTCCTCCCCGGCACAACCCTCCACGGGTCTTCGACTTTACCGGCTGCCGCAAAAGCGGCACCTTCACACCGATCAATCCCCCGAATGCCCTTTGACGACCAGCCCAAGCCGTGGCACAGCCCACCCCGCTGCAAACAATCCCACCTTTGCCATTAATCTCCATTCTTTTCCATTCTCTTCTCTTCCCCCCAGCACCGGAGATTTCCACGGTAGATTTGAAGATCGGGCCGCGCCCGTTGGTGTTCGGGCCGCCGATGGCCTGCGGGCATCGGCCGGCCCATGCGGGCATTTGGAGCCGGGATGCGGGATTGACTGCAGTCGCGAGCGAACTGGATCAGGACGTGGACCTGTGAAGGGGCTGCGGGGGGATCATGGCCACGGGTGGCGGGAGGCTGGGGGTTGGACACCGCGGCGCGGGGCGTGGGTCTGTTCTGTGACAGGAAGGTGGGGCGGAGGGGAAGGGGTGGTGGCCCCTGCCAGATTGCGGGGAATGAGTCAGGCAGGCGGCCTTCATGGCCCCAATCCAAGGAACGGGGATCCCTATTAGGAATCAACCCCTATTAGCCCCAGTCAAGAATCCTACGGAAAGTAAGGGAGTTCTTGATATAGGGTCGTAACGCTGATTTTGTGACTGTGATTCAGAAGTAGGAAGCTGGGGTGCCTCCTTGCCTTGACGTGCCAACATCATCAGCATGAAATTTTACAACATTTTAATGTTGATTGTTCCAGTGCTGGTATGCGCTAGCACCAAGAGCGCTCTTGGTCCTTGACTTGTTGTATGCATTCCGTTCGAGCGGCTACAAATAAGAGCAATATGACAGCGTTTGAAAACCACATAAGGCATGCCTGGAGGTACGTCCTCAAAGGACTTTGGCCTGGATGGGCACATGCTCGTGGCAGGCCGCACGAAAAGGTTCGCTCACCTCGATGCACGGATTCTCTTCCAGTCATTGATTATGGATGCCAGGCGTAGGAGAAACACAAGAAACAGAATGGCGCAGCGTCATACAGTGGGTCTCGCCAAATGAACGAACTTGTTCTCATAATTTGGGGGGCCATGGGCACATTGTTGTGGATTCGGGCAAGGCCGTATTGCGCCGTCGAAAAGCGTAGACACGCTGGCATTCCCGCCTTTCGATTCCATGGCTGACTGGGACTCTTCTTGCACTTTAACGCGAGAAATAATGACAGGGCGTTTCCAAAAGAAATCCCTAGCCACAATATGATATTCTCACGGTGTACTGCCAACTTGAAATGCCGCCACACAGGACATGACAGAATAAAGCGCAAGGCCATTTGAAGAAGACACTTTGAACCCCAGCCACCAAACAAAGTGAACGATGGAAATATCCTCCACGTTGTGAACCATGACCTCGCGGCTATGTGCTTTCGAGTGCCGACGCCCGGTTGTGCTTTGTCTTTCACTTACAGTGCAAGCTCAGTCCAACCAATGTCTGGTAGTTAGGTTTAGGGGTTGGAGTGGAAATGGCATTTAAACCATCAAATAGGAGTCCAAATCACTTTTTACGCAAGAGAAGACTAATTGGCAGTGATGTAGGCTGTTTAAATGCCAAACTGGCCATCAAACTGGCGTACTTTGTGCCGTAATGGCACATTACTGGAGCGCTGTGCTGGAGGCTCGCACTGGAACGATGCACTCAATTCCTTGCGCTTTGCAAATAATTTGCAAAAAAGGAATATCCTATTCCTGACTTGTTCACTGTTGGGTTGCGATTTCGATCACAAGGCAATGTTTGGCAGAATGTCTCAGTATCTCAAGCCAAGCAATGATTCTCGCAGCGTGCTGCAAGCTTGACATGTCGCTGCACATTATATGACGGGAACGGTACCGTGGGACCACCTGTGGTGTGGTCGCGACTAGAAACAGCTCATATACAACGTTTATATCTATTCCCAATCTCTGGGCATGACCAGCGAACATTGCGGTTCTACCAAACACCTCTTATGGGCGCGTTTGAGTAACCAACATGCTGTTTTGAGGTCCTCTTGCACAGAAAGACTGCGGAATGTGGCTCGCAAATGGTGCTAAGTCAAAAAACCAGGGTGCTATCTGGAGACGGGTATTATTGAGGGGGCGTTATATAGTTGCTCCCACTGTACTCGTCAAGTTTCTATGGCACAGCCATCCGAGGATCGCCCACAAGTGCAGTAGAATTGGCGTCAACTCTCAGATCAATGATCAGATGGATCACGAATCTTACCGCCAGGTAGTTGCTTGATGACGCACAGGCAATGACCACGACACCATAGGCATGCAAAGATGCCAATCGCATAGAAGAGATATTACGTGGAGCTCAACATGCTTGGAGCTGTTCTCGCCTCTGAGCTCGTACAAACCGTTAAAGCCCTGGCCAGGACTGACCTGAGGTGTTCATGGACACCGACAGTGACATTGATTGATGGGCATCGATTGAGCAGCGTTGGTAGAAATCGCAAGTGAAAAATCAGCCAAAATACACGCTTTCGAGCCGTGCAGAACTCGTGTGTAAACCGCGTCAAAACGTGAAAATCATGTACACTCACTCAATCGTTGCGACACGGTTTGATTCCGCTATTGTACGACAAATACACGATTCAACACTATTTTCAATTATGACACGATTTCGACATGATTTTAGGTTGTTTTGCACGGTGCACAATGTTCGAAATCGTGTATTTTGGGGGGCCTTTTCATCGTCCAAACGGAAGTTTTACATCTGAATTTGATATCAAATAGCCGGTTAGAAACATCGAAAGGACGTTGACTGGGGCAATTTGTCCCAGAGGAATTGCCAGGATATCCCCTAATCGGACAATTACCGGCAAAGAATCTACAATTGGCCCCAGTCCAGACACTCGAGAATTGACAACTTAGGTCTCTTCTTTTGGGCGCGAGTTCTCATATTTGTCAGCAGTGCAATAATTGTTATAATAATAATTGTTGCAATGAATTATTCACTGGCAGGTCCAGAATGCCAACAGGTTTCGTGGAGAGCAGATTCATTGGCTTTGCGGTGGCGTGCGCCGATTCATCGGAGCATACGATGCAATTGGCAACTTGCCAATCAGTGTGCCTTCCTCCCATCATTATTCACTCAAGGCAACCAAGCTGATCTGTGATCCAGAGTCATCTTGCAAACAGCAAACCACGTTGGCGCAAGACCCTCAGGCGCATGAGGGCACGTCATAGTTTTGCACACCCGTCGCTGCTCCTCTTGGAGTGGCAAGCGGGCGGCAGAACTGGAAATCGCGAGGTTGAAACACCTCTTTGTACTGTTTTCACCTTGCCTCCTGCTCTGTGCGAGTTGGAACTGACAATCTGATGACGATCACGGACTTATCAAGATGGCATATCAAGATCAGCACTGTTGATCCCCAGTGGGTCACGTTTCTCCTTCGCGACTAGGCCGCAGTAGCAGCAGGTGACCTGTATGGCTTTCACGTCCGAACGTTGCTTGCCAACTGGACAAAATTACCCCTTGGGCAGCATGGCGAGTGTGGGACACCATTAGTCAGCAACCAGAGGTCTGCCCAGGCTGTAGGTCCACAGGGCGCACAAATACGCCTAATTCAAAACAAGTGTGCGTATTTATAAGAAACTTAGAAATGCGCACAATACGCATATTTCGTTGGCAAAGGCGTACAAGTTAGTCTGGCCACAGCGGGAATGAAATGACATGATGGACATGCGCAGATGGGCCATGCATGGAAGCGATCCCATGAACGGTTGTTGTAGCGGAGACGCGCCATATCCGACCACGCAGATGACATCCATTCGGTGCCACATTCAGACTTCCTTGGGCGGCCGGCAAGAAGGCATCATACTCATCTGAACCCGACGGAAACCTTTGCATCAAGAGCTTCGACACCCGAGTTGACGTACTTCGACCTCGAATTTTCGCCATTCATTGCCAATTGTGAAGGTGTACAGATCCGGCTGGCCCATAAAAGAAAGTGACGGAATGAGGAGTGCCCCCGCGCCCAGGTTGGAAGGGTGGGGGGCTGTGGGGCAGGGGGCAGGGGAGAAATGAGAAATGGGCCAGTCGGTAATAGGGTGTGTGTCCAAGGGGGAGGTGTGAGAGGGAGCCTCCCTTCTCCGGGGCAAGCTAAAAGAAGGTAGGGTAGGTGCCCCAAGATTAGGACATGGGACACATCCCCGGAGAGAATATAAATCACAGGTTTGCGCGAGCGTTCGAGAAGGGTCTTCAAGGAATTTCGCAGCCAACACAGGCGCAGGTTTTCCAGCTGCTGATTGCGGAAAATCTTAGCAGCACAGCGCAGCATACGGCAATCAACATTGTGGTGAGTAGTAACAATGAGTACTGGGAGTGTACGTGATACCTCGAACGCAAATGGTTCTGACTCGGCCGGCAGGCGTGGGTTGAGAATGTGTACAGCACATTACACGCGCAGAAAATTTTTGAGCTCTTAGCTCACCACATGCAACCCCAACATGCGAAACTGAGCCCATCCGCTTGCAAGTCGATGACTAGCCTTCACCGTTCCATTGGCGACAACCCATCCATCCAACCGAAGCAAGTGAAGAAACAAACAACCCGGTCACCCCTGCTGTGTGACAAGCGAGCGACCTCTTGGCCCGAAATCACGACCCCTTTCATGGAACAAGTTGACGCGCAAGGGACACGCTGCATCAATGAAGTTGACAATGCACAAAAACACCGCACTCTCTATGACCAAGGCAACATATATCAGCCCCTTCTTGCGAGATGCTTGTAGGCTGGAACCCTGTCGTTGGGACAGAAAAGAAAAGAAACTTGGTCCTTGACTTCCCACTGTCAAGGCAGCATAGATAAAGCATACCTTGGCAGGCTCAAAACGCTTTGTTGTTTGGCGGGATCAGCAGCCAGCGCCAGCTTAACAATTCGAAACGGCCTCTTGCAGCGACTGCAAATGCAACTGTGCTCAATCTACAGTGACAGTCAGAATTAGTGGAAACGATGCTTTGCACAGATCGTCACCCCAAAGGTGTGCTAACAGCTACAGCCCCCATATCTTGTTGGCTTCATATCCAAATCAATCGTATCCTTCCAATCACAGTCCCCAGCTGCCAATCCTTGGCCTCTGCACGAGCCCCACCCCGATGCCAACCTGCTGCGAGCCTGACCTGTAAAGCACTACAGCGACCAACACAGCACTTGCCAAATGTCTACGTTGTGACCACACGTGTCTGAATGCCTTGTGTCGGAATACTTGGGCCAGCATGCATGGCGCATGTGCGCTTGCATGGCAAGTATGGGCGGCTGCCAAACTGCAAGTCGACACACTCAGCATATTGGCCATGCCTACCTGCGTGCTCAACAGCAGGGCAAGCTACTGTTCTGCAACTGCCGGCCACTCGGGCTCTGGAGGCTGCGACTCGTCTCCAAAAGAGTTCCATGGGGCCCAGTACATCTGAATAACAAGGTACCCCGCACTCTGCCCAGGCTTCTTCTTTGGCGACCTGTAGATCAGCACAAAATCTCGTCAACTTCATATGCCAAAGACATCCCTTGGCCCCACTAGGCAAATGCCATGCCCTTCCACAGGAGCTGTCTCTGTTTTCAGAATGACTGTTGCTATTGGATCCGATCGTCGTATTGTCAAGGACGGGGGTGGGGGGGGGGGCGGGGTGTGTGTGGGGGGGGAAACAGGCTGGGTACTTGGGAGGACAAGGTGTCCAAACCCCAAAAACAACTTGGAAAGGAAGAAATGCTGCCCACAGCCGAGTGCTCATCTGCCCAATTCCGCCAACGGGGGAATTTTCATGCGAAATTCATCGCCAAATGATACATTTATCAGGTGGAGTAATGCAAGTTGCCAACGGTGACTAATGTTTGATGGTTGGAAGTCGTCCAGAACATAGGATACAGGCTTCAGCACTCACTGTTGGCTCAGTGCAAAGATAGCAGCATGGCAAATTTCATGACAGACATACTGACAGTAAGCATATAGTGGCTCTCGTGGCCCAATGTTGTCTCATGTTGTTCCAGCCTGAATATGATATCGATGGCACGCAACACATTAGCTGTTGCCACCACACAGTCATGAACAGCCACGACAAAGGAGCTTGCCTTGTGATACTCCTCACTTGCCGATCAATCTGCAACTTCAAGTCTGCATGGTGTCTGGTGGCATGCCTGTCTGTGACAATGCAAGTTCGTACACCACGCAGTAATCAACAGCTAGCTTCCCCCCCTTCCCTTTTCCTATGTGTCTCGGTGCCATACTGATCACTCCCGAGGTCCACATCTCTTTTGGTAAGTTGACAGCGCTTTTACTCTCAATCGCGACACAACATTTCACAAAACAGGGTATGGAGATAATGTAGGAACATTCAATAGAAACGGTAATCTGTGATTGCCAGGTAACCCTCTGGTTCCTGCTGCGTACCTGTCGATCAGTTTGCACTTGAAAGTTTGCACGGTGGCTGGGGGCTTCACAGCGTAAGACACTGAGATTTCGTACACGCCAAGGACCTGATTCTTGAACACATCATCATCCTTCACCTCGATCTTTACCACGTCCGCAGCCTTTGTGCTGTCCCACTTGAATGTCTCGTTCCAATCGGGATTCAGGTTGTTGTTGATGATTTTGGATTTCCTCTCACCACCAGCAATCTGCACACACACGGTGTGAGCCACTCAGATGCTATCGGACAAGTCACAATGCATTAAATGACTAAAGTGCTGCGATGGTGATGTATCCATTGTTGGAGTACGTTGCTGTTGCATTGCTGTATAACTGCATAAATGCATTCTTGCTACTGCATTGTTGTGCTATGCAGTATTGATATTGCTTCATTGCTGCCACTAATGACCTCATTTTGGTCACTGCAAAAGCAACGTAAAGAAACGATGCATTGGTGACCAGCAGTGACCATTGCTGGCAGTGACTTGCTACCAAGTTCAGATCAGTTTCGCTAGCTAGTGGTCTGCTTGGACCTCACAGTTGCTTGGCACAAATGCAACTCACATTGTCAGTCATCGTGTGTTTGCCATTCGTTCTTCTTTTGAGCCAATCTTGGGACATCAAATGTGAACCAGCTTCCGTTATACCACAGTGACCTAAGTATTATGTAACAACTTCTTTCCTCGATTGATTTGTTTTAAGATAGTTCCGTGCACATTCCACACGCCCCTATTTTTTGCTAACCATGACAGCAAACCAACCCCAAAAGTTGATTTACACTTGCAGTGTATGTTTGAAATCACAAGACAATCGCATCGCCTATATGAAAGGATGGCACTATCCAGCAATATCAGAACATTAAGGGCAACCACATCCATTATCCAAAATCTGCACCCAATGCAGTCCACACCTTGAATTTGACATAGGGGTCGCTCTTGCCAAGGGCGTCGACGTTCTTCAGGCCCCTGCCGTGCACCAAGCGCACGTACAGCACGCCCCTCTCCACTTCCGCAAACAGTGAATCTTCAGCCTTGGTCCTAGACTTGGGGATGGGCAGGGCGTCCAGAGGGATCCACTCCAGGTGCAGGATGATGTCGCCCTTGGTGCCCTTGGTCCCTGGCGTCGTCTCTAGTGAAAGATTCACCTGTATCAATCGATATGACAATCAGTCAGGCAGCAACCAACAATCAACAATGAATTAGCCAGTGTAAATACTACATTTATTAATGTATTCAGAATACCACAGGTTTTCACATACTACTGTAGTATATGAATATGTAACAACTTGACAATACTCAACAAATCGATCAATCAATCGAACCTTCTGTGAACTGTGGGTGTGAGGGTTGTGGGCATGCTGTGGGTTGGCAGGCCTGTCCTTGTGGACCAATCTTCCTTGCCATTGATACAGAGACCAGCAACTGTGCTTGCAAGTCATGAATGAGTGAATGGAATACGAATACATCCTCAACAGAATGACACCTAACACAGAATGCGCCTTTCCTAGTGTGGAACTGCAACAAGGCAGTATCACATGGTGCATAGTGTTTCAAGTGATGTCAATCGCTGAGATGGACAACAAGCACGTTGCACTCCGTGTGTTTGTGTGGCAACATGCACTGCAGTGGGTGCCACACAAATACTGCATCTGCGGTATGATCATCACCTGAGATTCCATCAACCAGTACATAATCCATGGATACATCCAGTCAACCAGTCGCCTTCAACGGAAGGTTCACCTCTGCCAATCAATCGGTGAATCAATTATCCATTTATCCATCAATCCTTCAATCAATCGATAAAGCAAGTGCCACTAACACTGAGCTGCATTCACTGAGGCCATGTCTGAACACTGATGCTAAAGAGTACATCTCCTCCTGAGGCAAATCATCTCCCTTAATTGGACTTTAGCACATGTGGCGATCAAGTACTGCTTAGAACATACATTCATGAAATTAGAACACAATTTTCATATCATAATGCTGTTTCCCACACCCTTACACCCCTTCAGGTACCGTGGGTGCACTGCTCACTACTCAGTACTACATTGCAGTCTTGTACCGAGATTGCCCGCCAGGACAACAAACACACACCTAACTTTAAGGAGCCTCAAGCGCCAACTCAAACTTTACTATATTGCAGAACAGAAAGTAAGAACTAAGAATAAGTTACACAAAGAAAAATGGAAGTCAACTAAAGATGCACCTTGAGAGAGTCCAGGCTATTGTCGTCGTTAAACCTTTGGGCCACGTCAGCGATGGGTATCTTGCCCCGGCCCAATAGCTTATCGCTCATTGTTCCCTTGTCATGAACCTGCGAATGGAAGAAACAAAGGGTTCTGATGTGCACCATAGGGACACTATAGGCGACTTCCACCAAAATTCACACAGCATGAAAGATAACATCACGTCACAACTACTGCTCAGGCGAGATGTTCCCATTGCATTACATGCTTCCTCCCAGCTGAAGCCACAGAACCAAAATACAAGCTACAGGATACAGTACTATGTAGAGAATTGTACTCGAAACCCATCCCATTGAACAACTCCCTTCTGCTGAAGGAGTGTATGATCCTGACAGCTTCCAACCCACCACACTAGGAAAAATGGGCCAAATAACACGTGATCAAACGTGTACAATGTTTACGGGTTTGGGTTATTTTTGTGTTCTTAGTGTGCAGAACTTTGGTGAAATGTGTTTTACGTGTGTTCACAAAAGTGTTATTTGGTCCTTTTTGTGCTAGTGCCATGGACCCCTGCAGCCTCTCATTGGAAACACACACTGCATGACGCATTCTGCGACATGTTTTCCTTTCCAGCAAACATTAAAACTGAAGCAGCAAACAACAAGCTGCAAAGACAACAACAAAAAAAATGATAACAGAATGCACAAAAGGCCAATGTCTCCCGGGCAAACCCACCTCGATGAACAGGGTCTCTGACGCCGACACGTTCGGCCACTCGTAGTACTCGTTCCACTCAGGGTCCAGTGTGTCCTTCATCGCGTGTGTCGACTTCTTGTCGTTCTGGCACCACAGCGTGCAGTAGGGGTCGCTCTTGCTTGCCCCATCTGCGGATATGAGGTTGAAGGCGCCCTCAACCCAGCAGAACAGCATCCCATGGTGCACGTTCCTTTCCTTGTCCTTTGGCGTCAGGGAGTAGTGGCCGCTCCGCAGGGACTCCAGGGTCATGTACGTTAGCATGAGGTGGACTTCGCCTTCGCCGGAGCCCTGGTCGCACAACAGGCAGGTGGGAATGATACGAATGATGTCCCACAGTGTATTCAACCCATCGGCATAGTAACGCAACTGCTGGCCCTTTTTTTAGAGAAAACAACAAAACCAACAACGTTCCTTACATGAAAATTTCGCAGAGCAACATAAAAATATAGAAATAACGCTCTAAAAAGACAAAATGCGGAGCAAAACACATAATGATAAAATTCTCTGATGTGGAAGTGTTGAATATACTACTGCAAAAGATTAGACTGATGGTAAACACCAAAAATTGCAACGGGACGGTGTGCATCCACTGCAGCAACATTCCACGACACACTGGTCATGGCCTGTGAATATGCTGACTTCAGATCATTGGACAGCTTCGCTGGACTTCTGCAAGGACCAACTGCAACAGTAGAAGCATCCAGTGCAGTGCGCACCCCACTCCTGAGCGAAAGGGCAACAAGACTCCATCGCAACTTTGTAAGATAATGTAGATGCTTCTGAAAGCAGGAGATGCCACACAATATCGCACAGCGTGTGCAACAACGATCAGTGCCATAAACTGCACTGCAAGAAATAAGAATGTGTCAACAAGACTCCCCTGGATTTATCACCTTGCCTCATAGCTAGATTTTGCAAGGACAAGCTCTAAATATTACCATTGCTACAATGAGCGATCTGCTGCTCTTGCTCTGTCGGAGAAAGAGGACACTCCATGTTGCTAAAATGGGGCAGACAACACATGTCCAATTACATCACACTGTTGGCTTGGATCAGTTATGAGCACGACTTTGCAGGTTTAACAATGTTGTTGTCAAACAAATTTCAAAACAAAGAAA